TAGAAAAACCCACACCAACACAACACATGTAATAACAATTATCCACCAATCAGAATATAATAAATAAAGTTTATTACATATGCAAAGCAATTGGAAAACAGAGAAATGGAAGATATGTCACAACATGCAACATATTTCCCTTCCCATAATCCTATGCGCTGGTACTGTATCTAGCAACACACAACAATCCATCCTCAAAGCATAGGAAAAGGTATTTACTAAAAAAAATTGGCTTTTCATGTGTTTGGGAACAGTGCACATTTTAGTGCACTGACTTTGCAAGTTTGTTTTTAACCACGTGTTTATAATAAATTAACAGGACTATTCACAAAAGGGTGAAGTGTTTGGATAAGTCAGGAAAAGTGATCAATCTAGGACAACATAGCTGAACTGGAAAGTGAGCAATGTTGGAGAATCTTTCCAAATCAGCTATTTCGGCCTGGATTTTTCACTTCTGCATTCTTCAAACCCTTCACCCTTCTGTGAATAGATCTGTAAGTTTTTACGATTTTAGGCTTGTTGCATTTTTTTGATCTCTTTCTTTCCACTCCTGAGCTAACTGGACTGATTGGAAGAGAAGATATCTGCTAAATATCCTGATTGTGGGTCTAAGCTTTATTGACCTAACAAATAAAAGTTAGTTGAGGTGTACTGAATAAGGTGAGTGCCAGTCCGATGGAGAGGGGCGTGTCAATGGACTCAGTTTTCTTAGCTGTGGAGCACAATAAGGGAGCAGTGGGATTTTGAGCCCCTGGATTTTATGTAATTTAGCAGGAGAAACAAAGCAGTGGACTAAATAAGCAACTAATTAGTGGACAAACTACACTATGGATTGTTGAGCGCTCATTACTTTTTTCTATTGAAATTATGCACAGCTTGTATTATTTGCACAGCGCAATAGAATATATGTGCAAAGATTAATAGTATGGTTATACGTTAAGATAAATAGTTTTTTGTAATTTAGCAAATTGTGGAAGTATTGTAGATTAATGTGCGGTATACAGTATTTCTGTTTATACACAACTTGGTTTATTTGTTTATCGTGGTAGCTTCTAGCTTAGGGAAGCAATTGTAACATTTAGTGCAGTAGGATCTCAGCAAGGATTTTGTTATTTTAGGGTCTTGGGATTAATTTTCTTACCCCAATCAAAGCAATGTTAATCTTGACACTCACCACCCAACCCACCAAGAAACAAAATAACACCAGGACATTAATCAAGAGCACCTTGACCAAAAAACATCCATATTTGGGACGCCGCTCCCAATCACAGATTAATTTCCCCCGAACCCAAGTATTACACCCATTTCTGATGCTAGACCCCCTCATGCCCTCAGTCCCTGATGAATTCAACTTGTATTTTTGACTCACAAATAGGATACCCAAACAAAAACCATAGCCCTGTCTTGTCAAATCACCACACAATTTATACATTTAGTATACCATACTTCCACCATGATCCAGTAATACATTCCATATTAAAAACCCCTTCATGACTGAGCTAGTTTTTAGTTTCTGTTCCTAAATGACTGACACACTTTTTTTACATTTTTGCTGTGTGATTCTTCCACAGCAGCAAGTTTTGATTATTATTATTATTTTTAGAATTTTTTTAATAATTATTATAGTATACAAATATATTTATATATAAACGTTTTATTTTCCTAATTTTTTGTACACTTTTTTTTTTACCCTTTGTAAAAAAAATAAGTGTAAAAAAAAAATTTTTTTTTTTTTGTCAGTTTATATCAAGCAATCACTATGACTGCTTAATAAATTAACTTTTTAAAATTTTTAGTTATTATCAGGCTGCTCCAAGCTTAGGAACAGCTAATAATAACTTTAGAGACTGATCCTGACAGCATGTCAGAATCAGATCTCACTAAAGGTCTTTGATCGTTCCTAGACGATCAAAACTGATACATTTCACTCAAGAGATACATTTTGTATCTAGTGGTTGAAATGTATCATTTAACATCGGGCCAGGCTCTCCAGCTGTCAAAACGAATAGCAGAGAGGTGAGTCACTGCTACCTCTCTGCTATCTTCAGCTGTCAGATACGGGATCGCTATTTAGCGAACCCGTATCTGAATGTAAAGGCTTCATTCTTTCATTAATGAAAGAAAGAAGCTTTTAAAAAAGCTTAACTATTTCATTAATGAATGTCTCAATAGTGAGGCATTAATTAATGACTGGAACTGCTGAGAATCAGCAGTTACCAGCATTACAGAGGCTAATATAACTCGGCACGTACAGTGTACGTGGCCAGTCATATAGCCACTTTGTGACGGGACGTACACTGTACGTCTCCCGTCACGAAGGGGTTAATGGCATAAGAGAAAATCAGAAAGTTAAAGAGACAGTACACAGAAACTGCAGAACGTGTGCAGGTGAAGCAGATTCAGAAATAAAGACCCTTTCCCACATGAAATAAACACAGAAAGCAGTAAAGATTGTCACTTGGTCTTACCAACTATCCCCTAATGAGAAATATTTTCTAAAAAAAAAAAAGCCTGAGTCTGGAATAAAAAATAGGCACATACCATTCAATAATTTGAAGAAGGCTTTTTAGCCACTTTGTGAGCTGGAAGGTACACTGAACACATGACGCAGAAGCATGCAGTGTACACTTCTTTTCCATTTCCTCTGCCTCAGGAGGTGCTTTTCATTACACCCCTGTCAACAAGTCCACATAGCATGCATTGTAGGTACATTAAGAACATGCTGGAAATAGAAAAATACTGACAAAAAGTAGAATGCACACAACTGTAAAAGCAAAAACTAAAAAAAAAAACATTTCAAATAATATCTTTAGCATGCCTTTGTGAGGTTATATTCTAAATGGCTGAAGGGTTACTTTAAGATGTATTTTTTAACTACCTAATGTAACTGTTTATTTTGTGTATTTACACATTTGTTCTCTTGAGCTTTAATATCAAAGGGATAGTTGATTGCTTAGGCATTGTATATAAAATGTTATAGAAACTAAGGTCCTCCTTACAAAGGTTGTGAGATATTTGTATGCTCACACATTTACTGACACTTCAACATAAAACGTCTCCTTGCTTGGTTATCTTTTGCAGGTATTAAGTATCTGAAAGTCATGTTTACAAACTTTGCATGCTTTTGTTCTATTAGAGTGCAGATTATGAAAAGTTTTTTTATTACTTAGGATCCATAACTTTGTGCAATAAAGCCTTGTCATTTAGGAGAAGTAAAAAAAATGTAAGTTGAGATACAAAACATATCTGCCCTTTGTTCCAAGCACAAACCTCAGTCTTCAAAATGACTTTCATAAGGCTATTGTAAAATACAATCTTATTCAATTACAAACCTGAAGCAGAGGAGCCTTTTTCTTCATAGGTCCCAATACAGGGGGAAAGCATTGCACTTCGCAGAAAGAACAAGGGCATTGTATTGTTGGGGCACCAAATGAAATGTTGCCCATCAAATCATTTCTAACGTGGATCTAGCTCCAATATGGCAACCAGGAACAGCCATAGAGGAGCAATACAGTGTAAATCAGTGGTTCTCAATCTGCGTAACCTCAGGACCCACATTTGTCCTTGGTCATTAAGTTGCGACCCAAGTCGCAGTGCAATAGAACGCACGGCATTGCAGTACCACGCGTTCAGGTGCGGGCGATTAAACTGTGGGAAGGAGGTGCGTTTGGGGTGCCATTCAAATGAATGACAACGCAACGCACCTCCAACACCAGAATGCGTAGTAGGTGCGATTGTATGGTACAGTTTGTTAATAACACGGGACTGTTCGATTAATGCACTGTACTAGCATAAACAGGCCCTCAAAAACACTGACAGACACAATCTCACATACACAATCCCCCCAAAAATTAGAATTTTTTTAAGATCCACCAAGTCTTCCTACCTTACGAGAACTAGAGGGGATCCTTAGCCTGGGGACCAGTGTGGGCTGCTGTGCTGTGACGGAGTTCCATCCAGAAGTGCATTGCTTGTACAATCCCCCTTACGTGCCCTTTAGAGGTGCCGGGAGCCAGAACGTGGCATCACTCCAGTCCAGGCACCTCAACAGGACACGCAAGGAAGCTGTAAGCAATGCATGTATGGATGGAGCTCCCTCGCGGCCATTGCTCCATCCCATCATACCTTAAGCTGACATTCTGCACCGAGCAGCAGATGAATGGCTGCTTGGCGCAAGAACTGACAGTGCTGCGCTAGGGGGAAAGCTGAAAAGCCTCTCACCTAGAAAAGTGGAAGGCACGCGGCGACCCACTGAACACATGGTCGCGGCCCACTGAACACAGGGTCGCGACCCACTCTTGGGTCACGACCCACCAGTTGAGAACCAAGGGTGTAAATGATACTTAATGTTGTAGCACACCTTAGTCATGTCATTATGCCTGTAGGTCCTAATAATTTTGAAGGTTTGGAACAGGAGAGTAGGCACATTCATACATGAGGCAGATTGTTGTATATTGATATACACTGTTTATTTTTGCATAGGTAACGTAAATAACCTTCAGAATAAATAAGACTAATATAAACCTTTATGACACGGGAATGCAAACATTAGAGATATTGAGGAGTATAATGTAAGAGGCAATTGTTATGCTGGCACAGCAGTTTTCTGGACCTTTCAAATACCTAACCAGTTATAGGCAACTCTTTGGATACATTTTAAAACCTGATTTCATTTTGGTTATATTATTTAGTTTACATAATAATGTTCAATTTGGTGAAGAGTTTTGTAATTTATAGGACATCATTTTATACATACTAGCTTTTTATTCGTGGGTAACATTAATCATCCTGTGAAGGATGTTTTATAAATAAATGTAATATTTGTATCAATGGAAAATGTAAGCACTATCATGTACCTTCATTTGATTTTAATTTATTTATTTATTTTTGGCTTATATAAAACTGTTAATTTATCTTTTGGTTTTCATTTTTTATGTAAAACAATTATATAGTTATTTTTCTGTTGCTTCAAATAATGCTTAGGATTGCCATAGAATACAATGCATAAGTGGAGTTTTTGGAATAAAAGTGCTGTGACAGAATTTATACTTGTGGGAATTCCAACAAATCAGAATTTTCAGAGCTTCCTCTTTTTTATCTTTATCACTGCCTATCTGTTAACAGTAACAGGGAATATTGTTATAATTACCCTAATTCGAGCCGACAGTCACCTCCATCGTCCTATGTACTTTTTTCTCAGCAACTTTGCTTTCATGCAGATTTGCTACATAACAGTGACGGTTCCTACACTGCTTTCAGGTTTTCTAACCAGCACAAACAAAATATCAATTGGAGCCTGCTTTACTCAGTGTTATTTTTTCTTTCTGCTTGGAGGAATAGAGAACTTTCTTTTGGCCATCATGGCATATGATCGATATGTGGCTATATGCCACCCCTTACGGTATAATGCCATTGTGACCTCAAAGGTATGTTGGAGGCTAGCATGTGGCTGTTGGTTTGGTATCTTCCTTGGTTCTTTACTACCGGTAATCTTTTTGGCAAGATTATCTTTTTGTGGACCAAATGTCATTAACCATTACTTTTGTGATATTTCACCATTATTAAAGCTTTCATGTTCTGATACATCCTTACTTAAATCCTATTTTTTCAGCTTAATGTGGGTCATTGTTTTTAGCTGCCTTCTGTTCACTCTTTTGTCATATATTAGCATTATCACTGCCATTTTCAAGATCCCATCCACAGCGGGACGTCAGAAAGTATTCTCTACCTGTGGTTCCCACCTGACTGTGGTTATAATATATTTTGGGGCTGTTATATTTATGTATGTTAGGCCAAGAGAAGGTTATTCATTTGAAGAGGACAAGTTGATCTCTGTGTTCTACTCCATTTTGACTCCTCTTTTAAATCCATTTATCTATTGTCTAAGAAACAAGGAAATTAAACAGGCTTTGAAGAAATGCATTCAAAGCAAAAAAAGTTTGTTGCCTCATGTGCACATGTAAACACTGTGTTGGACATTTATATTATTTGTAATTTTGTTTCATTGCCTGACTCCAATCAAACTTATGTTTTCTCAGTTTTGGACATGGTGGTAAAATGGTAAGAATCTCTGATTTATTGCCAGAATAGGGGGAAACTGCTTAAAAGGGTTTATGGTTAGAGTGCAGCCCAAAATAAAATGTATATGTTTATTGTCACACAATTAAAAATTATTGTTTACTACTTAAACCAAACATTAAAGTGGAACTGAACAGAGGTAAGATTTGTTGTGTTATAGGGGATATATAGAAGTATTAACTCTGCCTAAGCAGAGTATGCTAAAACAATTTAAAGTTTATCTAAAATTCCCCCTGAAAAACAGGAGTACCCTTCCCGCTATGTATACATGCCTGAGCACTCATGTGCCTACAGACTTATAGCTGTATGTCTGCAGATTAAGTCAGTAATGGGGAAGACATAAAATGCAGGGAGACCCCATGCAATACTGGTGAATATTAATATTTCTCCTCTGCCTGCTTTTTTTTGGGCACAGCTTCCAGAGTTGATCTACTTTTTAAAGCACGTCAATATCTGTGATTTTATGGAATAGCCCAAAATGGTGTATGTAGGCAGGGATCTGGTGGGAAGGAAGGAAATTGTGGACAAATTTATCCAAGTGTATGAATGGATGTTAAACTAATCATAAAATGGTACCTATATATTCAGTCCGTCTCCTAAATGCACAATTTCCAGAATATTTTGGCCAAGGAGAGACTGAGGGGAATGGTTTATATCCCAAATATTCTTAAACCAACAATGCAATAGTTATGTTTAAAAGCAAAGTGACAGGGATGTTATGGTCATGGGAGAATGAACTAGTATGTTGCGCTCGGTGTTGGTGGATCTCTTTGGTTTGGGGTAGGTTTAGTTGTCACTAAACACAATGTCAAACTATATACGGTGAAAATGGTGATAAATAATTCTATGTGATAAATTAATAGATAGTACTTAAAATCGTGCTAATTTGTGATCTATAAATAAATTATATATAAACATATGTTGTTGATTAAATAGTGTATATAAATTATTCTGTGGTGACTCTAATTGTGGAGGATTACCGTGGTAGCGGTATATTGCTTATACCTAAAAAATTCATTAATACCACTATAAGTGTCTCAACATGGCTTGTTAGTGAATTACAATATAGTGAATGTATACTTTGTAAATTGTATCAAGAAGTAAAAACTATCAAAAAATCGAAAAACTAATAGATAAATTAAATAAATAAAATGAAAAAAATGTGAAATAAATAATAAAATGTATGTAAATATATAAATAAATAAATCGATGTGTCCAAAAATCCAATTATAAAACTGATGGCATGGGATAAAAAGAGTCGGTATCTTATACCATAAACTACTATAACAGGCAGGCCTCTTTGACCTACACGCCTTCACACAAACGGTCAATATATTCAAAATGACATCATAATATTGGACTGTGAATAATTCTTAAAATATAACACATAAAAACCCACATCCAATTAGTGCAGTTCTTCACACATGAGAGGACTTTTTGACATAGACGGGGGAAAACGTTGTATAAATAATCGTTAAATTCCTTTGTCCATAGTCCTTAATCAAAAAAGGAAAATTAGGGTTATTCAACGACAGCCCACTTATCTGTCCTTCCCGAGGTAAAAGCCAGGAAACATTCAGCTCACAAGAAAAAATCCTGATATCCTGTGTTCAAGGCAGCGTTCCTGCCTTTTTCCTCTCAAATTCCCCGTCTAACTTCTCTGCGGCGATGTTAGCAGCCCGCCGGGTACGAATTAAACTGGATAGAGGGGAGAACGAGAAAGAAAGGGAACACTTCTAAGTGTAACAGTAAATTATTTATTTAAACGCAAAAACTGCAAACACTTACGAAATTCTGTAGAATTAAAAGCTTTGAGTAATAAAAGGACACTCGGCCTTATCGATCATTCAGTGTAATGTAGAGGAATCCCTTAGCTACCAGGCACACCTCTGAGGCATGTGGGTTTTTATGTGTTATATTTTAAGAATTATTCACAGTCCAATATTATGATGTCATTTTGAATATATTGACCGTTTGTGTGAAGCCGTGTAGGTCAAAGAGGCCTGCCTGTTATAGTAGTTTATGGTATAAGATACCGACTCTTTTTATCCCATGCCATCAGTTTTATAATTGGATTTTTGGACACATCGATTTATTTATTTATATATTTACATACATTTTATTATTTATTTCACATTTTTTTCATTTTATTTATTTAATTTATCTATTAGTTTTTCGATTTTTTGATAGTTTTTACTTCTTGATACAATTTACAAAGTATACATTCACTATATTGTAATTCACTAACAAGCCATGTTGAGACACTTATAGTGGTATTAATGAATTTTTTAGGTATAAGCAATATACCGCTACCACGGTAATCCTCCACAATTAGAGTCACCACAGAATAATTTATATACACTATTTAATCAACAACATATGTTTATATATAATTTATTTATAGATCACAAATTAGCACGATTTTAAGTACTATCTATTAATTTATCACATAGAATTATTTATCACCATTTTCACCGTATATAGTTTGACATTGTGTTTAGTGACAACTAAACCTACCCCAAACCAAAGAGATCCACCAACACCGAGCGCAACATACTAGTTCATTCTGCCTGATTTATATCAACACATTGGTGCAGCTGGTGACAAAATATAGCTACTCCTAGCGCAACTAATTGATTTGAATATGGTCATGGGAGCCATTTCAATATTCATACAGTGCTCCTTGAACTGACTTTGCAAGGGTCTAATGGTGCAGCCATTGTATAATAGTCCACATGTGAATCAATACTGTATATAAGATTAATATGGTTTTATCTTTTAGGTTTTTATGCATATTATTAGACAGTCATCTACAAAGAATGGTACCAAGATTACAACTGCTGCAGCCGTGATCTTGGTATAACTACTTCATGCTTCTATACTACCAAATAGTGTGCCCCCCCTCCTCTGCTGCTGTCAAATAGGCAGGGCTCCACTGTCCCCCATGCGTGCCTGGGACTGGCAAGGTGGTTTTTGGCAGCTGTGCCTAATTTCCCCTCCACTTACTGAAACTGGAAGCAACAATGATTTTGTCACTTCCAGTTTCAGGCTGTTATTTCTTCTGCTACTGTAGAATTAGCTTATTTGGGGTCCATAGGTGACATTAGGGCTCTAATAGACCCCTAATGTCTCCATAAAGAGGATCTGTGACCTCATTTGTGTTATCACATAGTGGGCTTGTTAGCCAGGTATATTATAGCAATAAAGTTAAGTGTAAAAAAGTTAATAAAAATAAGTTAAAAATAAGCAATAAAGTTAAGTGTAAAAAAGTTAATAAAAATTATAGTGACATATCAAAAAAACACAATTTGTTTTTAAAGCCCTCCATCCCTATATACTGTGCATGCAAATATAAAAACAAGAACGAATTGGGTGTGTCTATGTGCAAAAACATAAATGGAACAAAGTCTCACTTTCAACAGCCAAAAAGCTCACTCGGTTTTTTATTATACACAGGGTCCACAGAACTCTGCAGTGGCTTCATTGTTTTGGTCTCAGTGACTCTTTCTCTTTCCCTAGATTTTATAGTGAGACAGGAAATTAGTTCCATTTGCTCTGGTTTTGCCCCAAACTATTTTGATATTGGTTGCACATTATTAAGCTCTTTAACAAAATACATGGTATATGTGGTCAGAAGCAGAATCGGCTGATGTTGTTTTGGGCAGGCTGCAAGCTTATTTATTCCCCACCTTCCCCCTTCTTATCTATTGTGGAAGGCTATGTGTACTGGAGTTTTAATATACTATGTCACCACACTACTTTATTTGAGGAAGAGTGTATACCTCCTAGTGCTTCTTATGAAGTCCCTAACACTAAGCCAGATTCCCAACAAGGCCACCGAGGCCCGGTCTCGGGGTGGCAGGGAGCAGTTCCGGGTGCCAGGCGGTAAGTTGTTTTCTACATTTAGCCCAATAAGAAAAGTAAAAAAAATTAAGAAACAATAAAAAAATTTAAACTAACCCTGCTGCCCCTGCCATGTCTTTGCCATTCTCCATTGATGGGGGTGTTTGAGGGGGGTGGGGCGCATTGCAAAACCTGTCCTTGGGGCAGCAGGGAGAGTAAATCCGGCCCTGCTAACACTATCTTACTACATTGGTCATATTAAGAAGCCAAGATAGAATTGTGATTGTAGCCCTTTTTTATAGTTATTGCTGCATTAATAAATACATCATTCTATAAACAACATACAGGGTTTTAATAACTATTCATGAGATGGAAGCACACATTTTGAAACTTAACAGGGTGATATGGTGGACTTATTTTTACTAATGCACTATCCTTACATTGCTCATGTCCAACTGCTCAAGTTCCCATCTACTAGATGGCCCTCTTTCAAAGGGCTTGTGCTCTAGTTTGGCATCGCCTTTTTTTTTTTCTCTCAGTCTGTTTTTAAAATGATAAAACTCTACAATAAAAAGTACTTTTAAAAAAGTTGTTTAATTCAAGGCAGTAAAACATATCGGTAGAATTGCATGGGATAATACAAAAGGTTAATATGCTGTTAAATCTTAGATCTGCTCTGACATAAAGACGTGAAGATACTGTGACAACCAGCTCGTCAGATAATTATAGGATCAATATTCAGAATAGCAGCTAAGGTGTTCCTTCTACCATATTGCAAATTCCAGTTAGGTAATTTAGTAATAATAGCTTCAGCTGGTACAAACAGTAAAACTAGGGAGGAAGATCAGGTTCGCTGTCACCATGGGTTCATAGCGAATTCCTGGCTAGAATGTTTGCAGGTTTGGCACCAGAAATAAGGAATAACGTAGTATAGGCTTTGCCCCAGGTCAGCTGAATCACAGGAGTCAATAACTTGAAGGAATGGATAACCCACCTCATTTCTATAAAAATAGGATTCTGTGGAGGGAAAAATATATATTTT